CTCAAAGCACGCATAACAAAGTTTTAATTACTGCTAAAGCCATCGCAAAGTAATTCTGTTCAACCCCTTTTAAGATCTACAGTAATCCTTCAATGTCTATACACAACCTGTGGTGATTTCTATGATCCCCCACGCACTAACAACAACAAAATTGCAGTTTAGGGACTAGTCAAAGGTATAGAAGTAAGTTATAGTGCTTGGGAGCGAGGTTATTCCGGACGAAAGCCCTTGGAATTAAATTCGGAAAAATAATTTCCGAATTTAATTCCAAGGGCTTTCGCCCGGAATAACCTCGTTCCCAAGCACTATAACTTACTTCTATATCTTTGACTATTTCATTAGTGCTACGCGGTCCATATACTCTCAGTTTAGGTACTAGTTTCGTCCTTTCAACGATTTTGACTCTCTCGTTGAGAACAAAATCCCTGGAAAATAAAAGTAAAGTAAACCAGTTTTAAAGCTTGCAAATATTTTGAAGTAGTAATAAATGAATATAGTCGAATTCAAGTTGTAATAAACATCGATAAGTATTATTTTAAATATTAAGTGCGACCTTTACCTAAATTGAAAAGTGCCACAACACCAGTGCAATATCCGTTAATATTGTGTAACCATTAATGTGCCTTTGTATGTTCGACGAGTTTGGTTCGGGTGGTGCTTAAAAGACAAATAGTTAGGTTAATCAAAAGTTAAATAGAGTACAAAAATAAAATAAGTTTGAGTTCCCTTATGAAGAAAAACAACAATTTTTAAAACAAAGTTGCTTTTTAGCTTTCCCCTCCATCTCTCGTTCTCTCTATTTACTACGGTGTTTCAGGTTCATGAACATGCTGTTAAGTATCTGTGACGGGAATGTCAGACAATGAAGGCTAAAATCAAGATGAGCCGTATACGAGTGTTTCAGCAAAACGCAAAAATAAGACAAATCAAACGAAAAAAGAAACAACAAATAAATAATGTAAGGAATCGTTTTCTACTACTCTTCTAAGCGAAGCCTATTTTAATCATCATTTATATCCATTGATTACTCTATAATTCTGTACATCATCTAACATTATTTAACTAGCTATATTTAAAATATTAATGTAAATATGCTATCAATGAAAAGAACTTTGTAACATAGTAAAAGTTGCTTGTACTATAATAACCCATCGGCTTCATTAACTAAGAGGCAGCATGGTCGAGTGGTCATAGCGTCGGTCTCGCAAGCTGTGGCCACTAGCTGAGACTGTATTTGTCCTGATCACTGATTAGTTCAGATTAAGTTTCTCGACCATGCTTGTAAATAGCCAACTGGTTTCCCCTTGCCAGTTGGGATTCTTATTAATTGTAGGAGGGCCATAATGAAAACTTTGGGTCACCAGTAATGTATGTCACCCTCAATAAAATAAAGTCAATTTATTTATTTATTTAAACGCATCCTGGTCTTATCTTGATTTTTTGTTGTGGCATGAACAAAGTTTATTTTCGCTCGTGACAAAACAAATTAACTCTAAACTCTAAACCTTCAGCTTAYGTATAACATTCTACWCCAATGGTTAGYTCATCTTAGCTCATTTCCATAGCTAGCMGCAGACAAACTTTCATTTTCTMATTCATTTCTGTCAAAGTTAATTCAAATTTTGAGTTTTCAATATATCTTACAAAAACCATATACAATTATTTCCTACTACCAAAGCTACCTCGTTATGATAAAATTGTCTCCACTCAAATAAAACGTGTGATCGAACTGTACGTAATATTGAGCTCGTCATTCATGATTGAATGACTGTTAACAATATTATTGAATGTTTTTTTTTTTTTTGTTTATCTACAAAGCAAATCGTCAATAACATGATTACTTATTAGTAAACTTATTTTCAATGTTCGAGTTTGTATCTACTGGTAATTATTTTAATGCAATACTAACAAAATCAAGGAAATGATGCAATTACAATATTTAAGGAAACCATGATGTCAGGAATACATAAGAGTAAACATAAGGGTATATTATGAATGTGTAGGATAAAGTCTGGTATTTAAAAAATATTATATTCATATTGATAAGTTAAACGTTATACATTCAAATGCTACTAGATTTTAATATAACATGATTACTTATTACTGAACTTACTTGTAATGTTCGAAAATGTATTTGTTTTATTTGTCGGTGCTCCTATAGCAATAATAAAAGAAATAAAATAAGGTACACAATAATAATATGCTTTCATTCAGACTATGGATTCCTTATACACAGGCGAGTGATATCATTGACATGCGAGGTACTTTGGTGATAATTAGCTCTCTCTCTCTCTCTCTCTCTCCTTTCCACCGTATAGCCGCAACAGACTCCCGCCTGCCAAAAGAGGTTTAACAAGCTATTGTTAAATTATTTATGCAATACTAACAAAATTAAGGAACTGATGCAAAATCACTATTTTTCACTATTTATCTGGAATAAAGAAAAGGAAAATATTATAATTAAAGGTGCAGAGTAAAGACTAGGATGAAAAATGTCCATTAAAATTATATATATAATTCATCATTTAGAAATAGAACATTCTAAACAAAACAACTATAGGTATTTTAAATACGTCAGCAATGAAATGAATATTATAAACTAATTACGATTTGAGACGGCTAGTGGAGAGTTCGCGACTGCCCAATACCGAACATATTTTCTTCCAACGCCTTCAATATTTCGTGCTATTGTCGTTTCAAAATCGTAATTAGCTTTGTATCGCGATTCTAAAAAATTTAACATACGTAAAAGAAAAAAAGGTGATGACCGATTTTCTTTGATCACAAGCGAAATTCTTCTTACGAGCGCGCGCTATGGCGCAAGCAACAAGCGTAAAAATATCACGCGCGCGCTTCAAGCTTTCCTTTATCGTCGCGCGCGTTAGACAATCAGAAACCTTAATTTTGAAACGACAACACCATAAAATATTGTCGTCTTAAAAAACAAGAGACTATTGAGAGTGAATCGCGATGCTATAATATATGCATATTATAACTGTTTATCAGTATTCCAGAATTTTATGCATGCTGAAGCTATCAAAACCTTACTTGTATTGTTCGGAGCAGCAGCTGTAGTGTCTGGGGTTGGAGAAGGCCCTTCTGTTGGTTTTTCTGTGGAGGGAAAAGATAATAATTAAAACAATATCGCGTGGGATCCTTGTAGTGTCTGGGCGTAACTGAAGATGGAGGACTTTTTTGGTTTTCGTTTCTTTATATATCTGCAAGTTTTGATCAATACTTTGGACATGTGTACTTGAATATATACGATATATTGAGTTACGGGAAAAATGGCTGCTCTTCACGAGAGTGGACAGTGGTATACGCATGAGCACTGCAGACATTTGCAGCATAATTTATTTTGTTTAGTTTCAGTTATCCTGTTTGTCTCATTTGTTGTTGTAGTGGTAGTGGTATGAACAAATAGTGATTGGTTGCTTTGTTGACTTGAAGGTTGGTTTATAATTGGTTGGTTGGTTGATAAGGTGGAACAGAGAGAATATGTAATTAAATAAATCTATAACTTTAATAACTGGAGGAAAAATGGAAGAATGATGAATAACAAATACACCAAATGTTTAAAGCGTATGCTATTTTCAGGATCATTAACGATTGTCTTTAATCATGTAAGATATGCAGGTTCAGCTTGTTTTGTATGAATTAAATCCTCGATAATCGACAGGCATTTTAAAAATTAGTGGACAATATTTAGAATGAGAAATGACATGTAAGATTGTAACTATTGAATACTCGTATTTTCCGTCTTTTAGTCTG